CAGTCAGGAAGCTGTGCAGAAGTAGCAGACAACTGTTTTTTTAATCGTTCCCTCCCATTTTTTTATTAATCCTCATCCCGCACTAGGGGTCGATACTCTGGGTTTCTTGATAAGCGCGGGGGGTCCCCCCCCCGACCAGGGTCAACCTCGCCTCGTCGTCGCGCCGCGGCGGGGGTCGGAGCGCCTTCGGCGCGCGGTGGCTGCCCGCGACGGGAGTCGATGTGGGGCTGTCGGCGGGGGTGACGCCCCCCCGACGCTCATGAAGAAGCTCTGAGCATGGGTCGATAGGCTTTAGGATTCCGGGGTAGGGTCCGAGTAGATGGGGTCGGAGGATCGCGCCGCATCGCCGATGCATCGACGATGCGGCTCGACGTGGAGCCCGTGTTTCCGAACGCCGACGTCGCCGATGCATCGCCGATGCATCGCCGATACATCGGCGATGTATCGGACCCCATATTTTCGGACCCCATCTAGGAGGCCTCTATAGGCTTCGGACGAGGCCAGGACGAGGATAAATCCGTTCCAGAGCGTTCTCGAACGCTCTCCGATCGCTCCGGAACGCTCTGAAAAGGCCGCGGCGCCCGAGACAGCCTCTAGAGCCGCCGGATCTCGGACATTCTCAATGTGTCCTCACCCGATTTTATCCTCGTCCTGGCTTCGTCTTAAGGCTCCTGGGCGGACGCATCGACCCCCAATCGCCCATCGATCGCCGGTAGGGGCCCGATGGCCCACCCCACCCAGGACCATGCAGATTTGCTATCGGGGGCCCATCGTGGATCTATTGGCGATGTATCGCCGATTCCAGGTCGATGGTTCCCCCCCTGAGCCGGTCCCCCCCTAACGTTCCCCCTCAAAGGGGGGAAGAAGGCACCCCGATCACCACAATTGGCTTTTACTGGGCAGACCTGGCCTGGGCGTTTGCTGAGCAGTCCTGCCCCGTTCGGTGCTCTCCCTCTGGTGCGTTTCCCAATGAGCGTCGCTCGTAGTGCTCGTTGCGAGAGTGGTCCCGCTGCCCTCCAGGAAGCACCTGGTGCTGGGCTGGAGGCGCGGGCGTGTCGGCAGCATCCTCGGCTGGGCTGCGGTCATCGTCTTCGTTCCGCTGATGATCTGGTCGCAGCTCAGCTCGGGGTCCGAGGAGTCTGCTCGCCAGATCCTGTGCATGAGCCTGCTGCCTCTGCTCGGGGTGCTCTTGATGCTCGGGATCTTCACCCAATTCGTCGTGGAGGTCGTCACGGACAAGGAGCTGAAGATGCGGTACGTGCAGCAAGTGGCTGGGGTCTCGACCTCCTCGTACTGGCTCTCGTACTACTCGTATTATTTCTTCCTGACGACCTTCTGCGCGGCAGTGTACCTGATCTGCGTCATGGCGATCGCGCCATTTTACAAGCACTCGAATGGCCTTCTCATGCTGCTGGTCATACTGGCGGCGTTTCTTCAGACCTTCTTCGTGGCTATGATGATCAGCGCCGTGCTCTGCCGGGCCCGCACGGCGTCTGTGGTCTGCGGCATGATCGGCGCGCTGACCGTGGTGTTCTCGTACGTCGTGCTGCCACAGATCAGCAGCACAAGCGTCGCCGTCTATCTCCTCGAGGGCCTCATCCCCTTCGTCGCGCCACTCAACCTGCTGAACGCGGTCGGCGCCCTGGAGGCCACTGGCCGCGGGCTCACCTTCGGCAGCTGGGGCGCGCGGATCTCGGCCTCCAGCGCCCAGACGGGGTCGCAGCAGGTTCACCTCGCGGCCGGCGCGCAGCTGCTCATTCTGCTCGTCGACACAGTGATCTACGGGCTGCTGGCCACCTGGCTGGACCAGGTCCAGGGCTCATTTCGATTCCTCCGATTCGATTCGATTCGATGTCGATGGATTCCGATTTCGATTCGATTCGACTTCGGATTCCGATTTGGGCTCCGATTCCTCATTGGAGGCGTACTGGCCACCCGATTTCCGTCGGTTCGACTTTTCCCGACGTGGCCGCCGATTTCCGCCGATCCGATCTATTTCGATCGCCGATCCGATTTATCGATTCGATTCTGGGCCCTCCTGCAGGTCTACCAGGGCGAGTTCGGGGCTGCGCTGCCGTGGAACTTCTGCCTCCGGCCGGCCTACCTGTGCCCCGGGCGCCGCCCGGCGGCGGAGCGGCGGGCGGAGGTGGGGCGTCGCGCAGAGAATTGGGGGGCGACAGGCGGGGGGGGTGGCAGCGAGGGCTGCAGACGAGGGGCCATTTGGGGCCCAGAAGGGGGGCCTTTAGGGCTCGAGAAGTGCACCGTTTCCCGCTCTCCCCCGCCTACTCATCGCCTCCCCAATTGGGCGACGCCCAAGGAGGAGTCGGGCACCGCGCCCGCGCTGGAGCTTGACAGGCTCGTCAAGGTCTTCGGGAAGCACCGGGCAGTGGACGGCATGAGCCTCGAGGTCCGCCGCGGCGAGATCTTCGCGCTCCTGGGCCACAACGGGGCGGGGAAGACGACCGCGATCAACTGCATCACGGGCATGCTCCCGGCCACCTCGGGCGTGGTGCGCGTGTGCGGCGTGGACGTGTCGGCCGAGCTCCAGGAGGCGCGCAGGCACCTCAGCGTCTGCCCGCAGGACAACCCGCTCTACCTGGAGTTCTCCGTCGACGAGCACCTGGCATTCTTCGCGGCTCTTCGGGGCGTGCCGCCCGCGCAGGCCCAGCAGGAGATCGACGCGGCTCTGGTCGCGCTGGGGCTCACGGAGAAGCGCGCGGCGCGGGTGCAGACGCTGAGCGGCGGGCAGAAGCGTCGGCTGTGGGTCGCCACGAGCATCCTGGGGACGACCCCTGTGGTCTTCCTGGACGAGCCCACCTCTGGTATGGACCCCGCCAACCGCCGGAAGCTGTGGGACATGCTGGTTCAGATGAAGAATCGCGGCAGGACGGTCCTCTTCACCACGCACTACCTGGACGAGGCGGACGTGCTGGCGCAGCGGAAGGCGGTCCTGGACAAGGGCAAGGTCTGCGTCGTGGGCACGTCCATGGACCTGAAGCACACCTTTGGCGTCGGCTACCACCTCCGGGTCGTCGGCCGCGCCGCCCCTGAGGGGGACCGCCCCCCGCTGCAGGAAGCAGCGCTGTGCGCGCTGGTGCGGCAGCACGTTCCCAGCGCCTCCCAGGATCGGGCGGCGAGGAGGAGGAGGAGGAGGCAGGAGGAGGAGGAGGAGGAGGAGGAGGAGGAGGAGGAAGAGGATGAGGAGGCTAGGACGAAGCAAGACTCGACCCAGGAGGGTCATGCATCCGAACTCCCACGGAGGCCCCACGAGCCCCGCGAGACCTCCAGGAGCCTCAGGGACCCCTGCCGAGGCCTCACCGCCCTGAGCGTAGGCCGAGCCTGGGCTTAACCCCAGGCTCTACGCCGCCCTCGGCCTCCTTCAACGGCCGCCCGGCGCCTCGCCTCCGGATCCGCTGGTCTCCGCCCCGAACGCGGCGAAGAGCGCGGTCAGGTCCGCGCTGCGCTGGCCCGCTGCCGTCGCTGGCTCGGCCGTCGCGGCTGAGCGCACGTCGCCGTCGGGAACCCCCCAAGACGAAGGGCACGGCGTTGGAGCTCTCCTCGAAGTCTCCGTGCACGAAGCCTGTCGCCCATGGGCCTGGAGGCGGGCGGCCGCGGCATGCGTCCGCCCTCGGCTCCGCGGGCTCCGCGTTGGCCAGGCTGCCCTCGATCTCCACCATGCGGTCGGCCGCCGCCTCGAGCTCGAGCTGGACCTGGCCTGCATTGGCGCCTGCGTGAACGACCGCCAACACCGCCGTGCCAACCCGCGCACGGGCGTCCAGGAGGAGGCGTCGCAGCTCGGCCGCGTGAACGGCGCTGTCGTCCCCCAGGCCGTCCTGGTCATCCATCTCGCCGTCGACGGAGTCGCCTGCCTCCTGGTTATCGACCGCGCCCTCCTGGACGAAGCCGCCGGCCTGCAGAAACTGCTCGCCGCCCTTCTCCAAGAAGACCGAACAGTTGCCGTGGGCGTCGGAGCCCTCCTCGAAGAAAGTCTCGTCCACCTCGGCGCCGAACTCGGCGATGCTGCTGCCAAGCATCTGGTTGGAGCCCTCGGGCGCGTAGGGCCTGGCGGCGCTGTCGAGAGCCTTGAACGGGACGACCCGCTCGCCCTCGTGGTCCAGCTCGAACTTCTCGCCGTGGCCCTGCATCTCGCGTAGCTGCATCTCCACGTCCATCTCGCCGATGTCCTGCCTCGATTCCAGCCGAAGGCCCTTCTGGGCATGCTGGAGCTGCCCCTTGGACGCCATCGCAAAGAAACCGTCACAACGGTGAGCGTGAGGAGCTACGTTTCGGCGGAGTCGATCAACTCCGCAGGGCAGCTTGCCCGCAATAAGCGCTCCCAGCGCAGGCAGAACGGCCTGGATCCGATCCCAGACCTCCTTGTTGCCGAAAAGGAGGCCGAGGCAACTGAGCAGCTCCTCGTGCTTGCCGCGCACGGCGGTCAACTCGTCGGCAAGCCGCCTGATGGCGCGGTCTGCAGAGGCCTTGGCCCAGTCGCGCCTCGCTTTCCGCTCTGCAGCAGAGCGCGATGGACGTGCATCACCCACGTCCTCCCGTAGAACCATCTCCTCAAACAGCCAGCTCCAGACGCCACATGCCGCATGGGAAAATGGCGCACCAGGGGGCGTGAGGCAAGCTTGAGCCAAAATAGCTTCGGACAGGCTAGGACGAGGAGGAGGAGGAGGAGGAGGAGGAGGAGGAGGAGGAGGAGGAGGAGGAGGAGGAGGACGAGAAAGGAGGAGGAGGAGGAGGAGGAGGAGGCTAGGACAAGGAGGAGGAGGAGGAGGAGGAGGAGGAGGGGAGGAGGAGGAGGCTAGGACGAGGAGGAGGAGGAGGCTAGGACGAGGACGAAGAGGAGGAGGCTAGGACACGGAGGAGGAGGAGGAGGAGGAGGAGGAGGAGGAGGAGGAGGCTAGGACGAGATGGAGGAGGAGGCTAGGACGAGGACGAGGAGGAGGAGGAGGAGGAGGAGGAGGAGGAGGAGGAGGAGGAGGAGGGAGGGGTAGGTACACATATGCCCAGACACAGACCCTGGCCGGGCACGGCCTGGGCCCGGGACCGCTGTGCGTGCTCCTTCCCGGCCCCAGTCGCCGGGGGGGCGCACGGGCGCCTTTCGTGGGCCCGGGACTGGTCCGGGCCCCAGGCAGGAGATCGCGTCGTGCCAAACTCAGGATGGGTTAAGCTCTCCTGGCCGTCTTCGGCCTCGGGGGGCCCTCGCCGGGCCCCAGGGCCGTCGTTCGCACGACTCGGGGCGAGGAGCCAGCCCCCGCGAGAGAGGGTCCAGACTTCCATGGGCCCCCGTGCTGAAAAAGAGGTCAGGGCGCCGCACGTCGGGGCCTCCACCCGCTGCCTCAGGAGGCCGGGCCCGGGCTGCTGCGCGCCGGGGGGCCCGAGGAGGGCAGGAGGGCCGGCCAGAGCTGCTTCGTGCTCCCGTACCGCGAGGCGGGCAGGCTGGTTGGGTAGCAAGTCTCATTCAGCTCCACCTGGGGGTCAGAGCCCCGAATCCTCAGGGGTAACTCGGGTCAGGGCTAACTCGGGTTCGTTTGCCGGGAATCCGAACCCGAGTTACCCCGGACCCGAGTTACCCCGGATAATTCGGGCGTCCAGAGCCCCACATCATCAGGGGTAACTCGGGTCGGGGCTAACTCGGATTCCTTTTTCGGGAATCCAAACCCGAGTTACCCCGGACCCGAGTCACCCCGGATAACTCGGGCGCCCAATCAACGGAGGGGGGGGCGAAAGTTGAGCGCGTTTGCTGGCGCGAGATCGTCTTTTTTGTTTCTCGGAAGGCGGCCTGCGCACGTGACATGTTCCCATAATTAAGTTTCGCCCATGCGGCAGTTTGAAGACGCCTCGATGTCGCTCTGGGGGCCTGGAGTGTCCTTCAAGTTCCGTCTGTAGCGTCGACTATAGCGTCTGGGAGCCGATGAGAGAACGGTCGAACTACCCGTCGATCCGCGGCGACTTCGCGTCGATGTGTAGCGTCGATGTGGCGTCGACGCACAAGAGCCGGCAAGATGGTACAGTGGGGACCCATGCCAAGAAACACCCTGCTTGCCTCCAGGATGCCCTAGGTTTCTTGGGTTTCAATGGTTTTGCTGTGGAAAGCGTGACGTTCCCACACCAAAAATCGATGGACGTCCTGGGTTCTCAGGGTTGGGTTTCTTGTGGAAGGTTTCTTGTGGTCGGTTCCCTACTGTGTGGGAAGCCCCCGCGGGCTGCCACGGAAGGCTGGGCCAGCTGCTCCAGGACCTGGAGGGCCGGGCCGAGGAGCTGGGCGTGAGCGACTACGTCGTGGAGGCGACGTCGCTGGAGGAGTCACACCAGCCTCGAACTCGTCCCTATCCCTGCGATTTGACACGCCCAAAGGCGAGGACGGAGGAGGAGGAGGAGGAGGAGGAGGAGGAGGAGGAGGAGGAGGAGGAGGAGGAGGAGGAGGAGGAGGAGGAGGAGGAGGAGGAGGAGGAGGAGGAGGAGGAGGAGGAGGGCGGGAAAAAAGCACACAGACACAATTCATCGTCGACTCCCAGGAAAATATGTGCAAACATATGGGAAGTGGGGGGGAAGACAAAAACCTCCAAAATATTGGAAAATATATGGAATCTTTTTATTTGTGTGTATTTGTGTGTGTGTGTGTGTGTCCTGGGGCCCCTTTCACCCTCAGAAACTAGGGGAACCCCTAAGATCGCCATCGTGCTGAGGCCATGCCCAACACAGGGATAGGGGTATGTTCTGGGCTGGCAGAGGAGGTCTTCCTGGCCCTCGGCCAGGGCGGCGGCGGCGGCGCGGCGGAGGCGGCGGAGGCCGGGGCGGCGGAGGCCCTGTCGCTGGCGAGCCCGAGCGAGCGCGTGCCGGTTACCTGGCCACCGGAGGAGGAGAAGTCAAGCAGTGGCGAGGCGTCCTGGCGCGCCTATAGTCGGGGGCGGAAAAGAGGGGGGTGATGGCTAGGGGGGGGGGATATCATGGCGGGGGCCATGATATTTCCCCAGATTTCATGGCGCCTCTTCTTATTTCATTACGTCCCTGGCCCCCCCGCTGGGCCGCGCACATGCCGCCGGTCATGATTTGCACCCCCCCCTCTTGGACACCCCCCTCTTGGCCGCTCCCGATATAGCCCCACCAAAAAATGTTCTAAGAACTTTTTGTGGCTCCCACGGAATGTTCTTAGAACAGTTCTGGCGGAGATGGTCTTGTGTTAACACATGGGGTTTATGTTCTGAGAACCGTGTTTTTGTTCTTAGAACATTTGTGGGTTCTAAGAACATTTCGTGGTAGGACTATAGGAATGCCGGGACGGTCGGTCCCTGCTCAAGAGAAGGCGCCCATACCTCTACCACTTTCCCAGGTTTCGCCTTTCCTGGGAGGCCCTCGTCGCCACCGCTGGCTTCGCCTCGAGGTTCTGGTCCGAGCGCACCCCGAGCGAGGTCCAGGGAGTGGCGGTATCCGTACTCGTTGGTCTCCCCAGGTCAGAGGGCGCCCTGGCCGTGTTCCTGCTGCGGTGGA